CTGCCTCAGCCTCCCAAAGTTCTGGGATTACAGGCATGAGCCACCACGCCCGGCCAATTTTTTAATTAAAAAAAAAAAAATCCAGTGCTGCCACTTATTTGCTGTGTAATTTGGGCAAATGACCCCTCTGGGCCTCAGTTTCCTCGTTTGTAAAAGAGAACAATAGCATGAGCAGATTAGTTACTGTGGGGATTAAATGTCTAAGTACTTAAAGATGACTGTCTTTCATTCGCTCTTGTCCTCATTTTACTCACTCCAAGCCTGGGTCCCTTGATCACTACTGTTTCCCAGCTACTCGGACCTCCTCAGTCTCACTGGGTAGAGTTGGAGCCCATTTGCCCACTGTGGGAGACTTAGTCAGGGGCCTGGCTCTTACCTCCAGGATGGACCTCCGGCGCTGGGGTGTGTGCTGGCTGCAGGCTGGACTGCTCCCAGGCACCCCGTGCAAGGCCACATAGCAATCAGTGCACACACGGTTGGAGCGGTTGTTGTCATAGACGAGGCGGGCCCGGAACTCGGAGCACTTCCCACAAACCACCTGGGGTGGCAAGTGGGCAAGAGCAGCCTGATTCCAGCGGCTCTTCCCTTCAGCATACCAACTCCCACAGCAGACTTGCGGCCTCCCACCACTTGGAGGGTACCCACTCTGCAGTGGGCCTTTGGGCTGCCAGGCTGTCCCCTCCCTAGCTCTGCCCCTGCCTCCCAACACTCACATGCCCGCAGGCCTTGCAGTGGTGCCTGCGTTTGGTGATAGAATTGAAGGGCTCCTGGCAGCGCATGCACATGGTGACTTCCTTTTCCCGGATGGGTGTAGGTGCCCGCTTCCCAAGATCCACGTTCTGTGGGGAGGGCCAGGTCTCAGGTCAGAGACAGCTACTCCCCAACCCAGTCCAGCCAGCCCTTGTTCCTCCTCCAAGGCTTGGATTATCATGGGGTGGGGATGGGCTGGGGGTAGGGGGAGCAGCCACATTCAGAAGACCTGCCTTTAAGTCCTGGCTCTGCTCCTAGCTACTGTGCTACTGAAGACAAGTCATTTCTATTATACTTTCTGGGCCTCAGTTTCCCCAATGATTTCTCTGTGGCCCTACCAATGGAAGACTGCTTCTGAGGTCATGCATTGCCTCTCTGGTCATTACCCTCTGGGAAGGGGAGAGGATCATCTAAAGGTCAGGTGGGGATTTGAAAGTCTGGAAGGGGTCCCAGTACAGGGGAAAGAGGGCAGGGACTCTTACTGGAGAGTTGGGCGGGGTGTCTTCATCTTCCCTGTTTGTTGAGTTCAACAGTTTGAAGGTCTCCAGCGTCTGTTCATGCTTCAGGAGGGTGGAGTTGATAGCCTGGGGAGGAGGTTTAAGAAATGAGAAGTCAGATCACCCCACAAACCACCCATTTCTACCTTCACTTCACCTTCCTATACCCTAGCCTGAACTTAGAAAAGCTGGGTTTCAGACCCAGCTCTGTCGCTGGTAGGTGGATGACTGAACAAATCCCCTCCCAAATCCAGGTCTCAGTGTTACAAGTGTAAAATGGGGGAGGGGGAGTGGTGGCTGAAAAACCTCAGGTGGCTTTCTTGGCCACCTTCTGGGCTTAAGATTTTACAGAGCTTGACACCCTCACCTTACACACCCTCAGAGAAATCAGCTTCCTAAAAGAAGAGTTTGTGAGTTTCTGCTGAACCTCTGCACCTCAGTTTGCTTATCTGTAAAATGGGGATAGTAAAGTTTGTTGAAAGGTGTCTGGGACCATTCTGGTTAGATGTGAGTTTTGAGGGAGAATCCATCAACCCCTAGGAGATTGTTAATACTCTTCTAGCCCCCTACCACAGAGCCTTGGATGTTACCTGGACCCAGTCTTTCTTCTCCTCCTCAGTCCTTGGGGTGGGGAATAAAAAAGAAAGATGTTTGGTTAGGCAGGCCCACAAAAAGCAATTGGAGTGGAAGAGCAGGTGTTTTGGAGTCAGAAAGACCTGGGTTTGACCCTCCTCTTCTTCACCTATTATTTATATGACCTTGGGCAAGTCACATAATCTGCCTGGGTTTATTTATTCAACGATTATTAATACTTTCCAGACCCTGCGCTAAGAACTTGAGCTTCAGAGAGGACCCTGCCCTCAAGAAGCTCATGGTCCAGTAGAGGAAATAGACAGGGACAATACAGGGAGATGATGGTGAAAATAAGGCCAAGGAGCCCAGAGGAGGGGACATGCCCCAGTCTGAAGTTTGGGTGAGGACTTTTCAAGTAGGTGCTAGGCCTCAGGTAGAGGGGTAAGGGTGAAATGTATGGGAGAGAATATAGAACATAAAAGAAACCATGTCAATAATTATCAGTTGGCCAGGTGTGGGTGGCTCACGCCTGTAATCCCAGCACTTTGGGAGGTCAAGGCGGGTGGATCACTTGAGGTCAGGAGTTGGAGACCAGCCTGGCGAAATTCTGTCTCTACTAAAAATACAGAAATTAGCTGGGCATGATGGCTCATGCCTGTAGTCCCAGCTACTCAGGGGGCTGAGGCATGAGAATCGCTTGAGCCCAGGAGGTGGAGGTTGCAGTGAGCGGAGATCGTCCCACTGCACTCCAGCCTGGGCGACAGAGTGAGACACTGTCTCAAAAAAGAAAAAAATATTCTCTGTTGCTGGGATGTCAAGTTTGAGAAAAGAGGGTAGTTTTTTTTTTCATTTGTAAAATGGAGATAATGATTATCACTCTCTGGGTTCTGAGCAGTAACTGAGGTAACGTGTACAGTGCTCAGCACAATGTCTGGCACACTCGATGCTCAATCAGTGTGAGTTCCCCTTCCCTTTGTCTTCCTTCCCTGACTCTTCTATCTGCTCTGCACTGCACTGCAATCACCTTATTCTGATTGTATTCTTTTTTTTTTTTTTTTTGAGACGGAGTCTCGCTCTGTCACTCAGGCTGGAGTGCAGTGGCGTGATCTCGGCTCACTACAACCTCTGCCTTCCAGATTCAAGCCATTCTCCAGCCTCAGCTTCCCAAGTAGCTGGGATTACAGGTGTGCGCCACCACGCCTGGCTAATTTTTGTATTTTCAGTAGAGACGGGGTTTTGCCATGTTCGCCAGGCTTGTCTTGAAACTCCTGACCTCAGGTGATCCTCTCTCCTCAGCCTCCCAAAGTGTAGGGATTACAGGCATGAGCTACCGCGCCTGCCCTATTCTGATCGTATTCTTTTAAAAAATTATTTTATTGGCCAGGTGCGGTGGCTTACGCCTGTAATCCCAGCACTTTGGGAGGCCGAGGCAGGTGGATCACCTGAGGTCAGCCTAGCCAACATGGCATGGCAAAACCCCGTCTCTACTGAAAATACAAAAATTGGCCGGGTGTGGTGGCGAGAGCCTATAATCCCAGCTACTTGGGAGGCTGAGGCAGGAGAATCACTTGAACCTGGGAGGCGGAGCTTGCAGTGAGCCAAGATGGCGCTACTGCTGCCACTCCAGCCTGGGCAACAAGAGAGAAACTGTGACTCAAATAAAAAATTATTTTATTTATCTATATTTTCTAATTTATAATTGCTTAGAAGTGAACAAGTGTTGCTTTTTATTTTTAAGAGCCACAATAGGCCGGGAGCGGTGGCTCATACCTGTTGTCTCAGCACTTTGGGAGGCTGAAGCGGGAGGATCGCTTGAGGCCAGGAGTTCAAGACCAGCCTGGGCAACATAGTGAGACCTCATCTCTACAAAAAATACAAAACTTATCTGGGCATGGTGGCATATGCTTGTATTCCCAGCTACTTGGGAGGCTGAGGCAGGAGGATCACTTGAACCCAGGAGTCTCTTGAGGCTGCAGGGAGCCATGATCATGCCACTGCACTCTAGCCTGGATGACAGGGAGAGACCCTATCTCAAAAAAAAAAAAAAAAAAAAGAACTACAGTAGTGTTTTTTTTGGCTGTTCATGCTGAAGTGTATAGGGTCCTGATATTTGTAATTTACTTTAAAATGGTTCAGCAAAAGACATTTAATGTCAATAGTTGTTGACTCTTAAATAAGTGGTTGTACACCCTGATACACACATTAAAATCACCTGGGGACCAGGTGTGGCGGCTCATGCCTGTAATCCCAGCACTTTGGGAGGCCGGGCCGGGCAGATCACGAGGTCAGGAGTTCGAGACCAGCCTGGCCAACATGGCGAAACCCCGTCTCTACTGAAAATACAAAAAGTAGCCGGGTGCAGTGGCATGCACCTGTAGTCCCAGCTACTCAGGAGGCTAAGGCAGGAGAATCGCTTGAACCCAGGAGGCGGAGGTTGCAGTGAGCCGAGATCGCACCACTGCACTCTGGCCTGGGCGACAGAGCGAGACTCCATCTCAAAAATAAATAAAAATTAAAAACTAAAATAAAATCAACTGGGGAGCTTTTAGAGCTCTCCATGTTCAGGCTATCCCCCAAGCCCATTAAATCAGAATCTCTGCAGATGGGTCCCAGGCATCCGTAATTTTTAAAAGCTCCCCAGCTGATTCCAATGGCTGCCAAAGTTGAGAAGGAGCTGTCTAAGTTGTGGGCATCTGGGTGCTTGTACTTGTATTTTTCTGGATATTTGAAAATTTACATTAAATTTCTGTTTTCTTTTAAGGGCAGTAAAAGTGACTGCAAAGCAAAGCAAACCCTCCATGCCTTCCTGCGGCCACTAGGAGAAAATCCTACACTGCTTGGCTGCCCCTTCTGGACCCAGTGTCCCACTGCAGCCCCTTTCCTCTCTGAAGATGATGATGAGTCCCTGTCACCTGGCTTGTCACTCCCCTGGATGTGCAGGGCATGTGCTTTGCTCTCACTTTCCCTGCTGCAGGCCTCCTTGAGGCTCTCAATCTCCCCAAGCTTCAAGACTCACTTCATCCCCCAGGAGGACACCCTCTATCTCACATTCATCTCTCTCTCCCACCTCCTCACAGTCACAGCCAGTCATTTCTCACTTTCTCACAGCCTGTCAGAAGCAGGCCATCTACTGACATGAATCCATCCTCTGACCCTCACCATGACCCTGATACCCTTTCACCTGGGCCCTCAGAAGGCAGCATAGATACTGGTTAGGAACGTGGACTCCAGGGCTGGATGACCTGAGCTCCAGTCTCAGCTCTGCTCCTTTCTTGCTCTGGGATCTTGGGCAAGTACATAAATATTCTTTTTCTTTCTTTCTTCTTTCTTTTTTTTTTTTTTTTAAGAGGCGAGGTCTCGTTATGTTGCCCAGGCTGGTCTCGAACTCCTGGCCTCAAGTGATCCTCCTACCTTGGCCTCCCAAAGTGCTGGGATTACAGGTGTGAGCCAGTGTGCCCTGCATGCAGAACTGTCCTACACCTAAGTTTCCCCATTTGTAAAGTAGATTTATGGTAACAGTAGCTACTTCTAGGGCTCTTGTAAGCTTTTGACTAATCAACTTAGACTTAAAATTTTAAGTTAACATTCACTCAAAACAGTACCTGGCAAAAAGCTAAGTCTTCAGGAAATATGAGCTATGATTATAATCATCCAAGTAGAAAATGGATATGAAAGGCCCCTCTGTTAAATGGCTGGCCATTATCCTATGCTATTATTTAAAAATGTTTGTTATAAAAAACTTCAAGCATACAAAAAAGTAAACAGGATAGCACAAGTACAATACATATCTATATACCCACTATAGAGATGCAAAATTTTTTTATATTTTGCCATATTTACTTCATATATATGTACATACAGTCACACGTCACTTAACCACGGGGATGTGTTCTGAGAAAGGTGTCATTAGACCATTTCATTGCTGTGCGAATATCAGAGAGTGTACTGACACTAGTACACTAGATGGTCTAGCCTATGACACACCTAGGTTATAAGGTACAGCCTATGGCTCTTAGGCTACAAACCTGTAAAGCATGTTACAGTTGTACTGAATATTGTAGCAATTTGTAGCACACTAATTATTTGGGTATGTAAACATATCTAAACCTAGAAAAGGTATAGTAAAGCCAGGCGCGGTGACTCATGCCTGTAATCTCAGCACTTTGAGAGGCCACGGCAGGCAGATCACTCGAGATCAGGAGTTTGAGACCAGCCTGGACAATATGGCAAAACCCTGTCTCTACTAAAAATACAAAAATTAGATGGGCGTGGTGGCGTGCACCTGTAATCCCACTTACTCAGGAGCCTGAGGCAGGAGAATTGCCTGAACCTGGGAGGCGGAGGTTGCAGTGAGCTGAGATCACACCACCGCACTCCTGGGTGACAGAGTGAGACTGTCTCAAAAAAAGAAAAGAAAAGAAAAGGTATAGTAAAATATGGTACTTTAATCTTATGGGGCCACTGTATATATATGCTCTGTCATTGACCAAAATGTTGTTATACAGTGCATGACTGTGTATGTGTATGTATGTATATGTGTACAAATGTGTATGTATGGTTACATATGTATTTTTTGGGTGCTGAACCACTTTTAAGTAATTAACAGACATTGTGATACTAAGCCCTCAGCATGCACTGCTGCAAAACAAGGCCATTCTCCTGCATAACCACCATACCATTATCACACCTAAGACAGCAATAATTTCTCAATATCTAATGTTCGCTTTACATCCAAATTTTCTCTTATTGTCCCACAAATGTCTTTTAGGGCTCTTTATCCCAAACCAGTCTTCTGTCATGGACCAAGTACTGCATTTGATTGTTATGTCTCTTAGATCTCTGAATCTACAATAAACTGTTTGTGGTGGTATTACTCATGTTGGGTTTCGCATCCCATTCTTCTCTCTCCTCTAACAAAATCCACCAGAAGAAATTCTTGCTTTAATTAGGGAGAGCTTATTCATTTTCCAAATGGTTCCCCCGGCAGGAGTGCCACATTTCCCCACATCGTGAAGTACTCACCCTGAATCTAAATGGCGTCTAACCCTTAGGGATCACCCCCACCGCTGAAGAGCAAGCCTGCATCTTTGGGGAAAGGTGCCCATCCTGTCTCTGGAACAATCTCTGGGCCTGGAATGCCTCAGCATAGCTGAAGAAAAGGGAGGTAGGCGCTGGAGGAAAGGCATAGGCAAGGACAAGTACCTGGCCTGGAGCTCCAGGGAGCGCTGCTTTCCTGACACCAGGAAGGTTCGAGGCAGATTGAGGTTGGAGCTCTCCTTTAGCTGAATGGAGGGAGAAAGGGGCATGGTGAGGCCACTGAACTCCACAGGGCCCTAGCCCTCTGCACACATACACACACAGACTCGGGGTCAAAGCCAGTATCTTTGTTCCTCCCAACACCAATGCCCCACTCCAGGTTCCCATTTCCCACCTCCTGGATGCTCACCTCCATGCCATCTACATCAATGCGTGCCCGCACGCTAAACTTCTGGCCAAGGAGCCGCAGCCTGGGCACGCAGTAAAGGAGGCGGTCGTTGAACTAGGAAGGAAAAAGTTTGGGATGTATGTGCGGAGGGCCTAGTGGGGATGTGGCCCAGCTCCTTGCCCTGAAGCTTTACTGCTGAGGACTGTAGGCAATAGATGGAGAAAAGACAGCCCAAATTGGGCACAGGGGTCACAAGGAAAGAGCCTAGGCGTGGAAGACACTCCCTAGTGGGGAACCTCGGGCAAGTCACTTCTCTGCAAGGCTTAGTTACTTCATCTGTAAAATGGAGAAAAAAAATCCTAGCTAGGTAGTGAAAATACAGTTCATTACTAGAGGAGAGAATGGCTAGCAGGAGGTATAGTCTTTGTTTTTCTTTTTTTTCCTCTTTCAGGAATGAAAGGAGGTATAGTCTTGAGTGAGTACCAGGTCACTGTGTGTGTGTGTGTGTGTGTGTGTGTGTGTGTGTGTGTGTGTTGGGAGGGGCATGACCCACCCACAGTTCCATGCCTGGCACTTACTAGTATGAGGTATCGGTCTTGAGTGGTCCCATTCTTTGCTGACAGCTTAAGGATGTGGCCTTCTTTTATGAGCTCTTTGGTGGGGCTGACAATGTCCTCCTCGCCCCCTAACAGCTCATATACTTTCAGCAGCTTATGCATTCGCTCCTGGCAGAAGACAGGGAACAAAAGGCACGGTTGGGGTGCCAGCCTCCTGTCAGATGCTCACAAGTCATGACACCCCCACCCCAGGATGGAGACACCACAGGTGGGTGGCCAAGGAAGGGCAGGGGCTAGAAGGGCCACTCACCATTTTGCGGATGGCAGCATTCGAGTGCTCTGCTGCTGTGGCTATCAGCTCCAGAGACTCTACAGGCATAGAGAGGTGAGGTCAGATGGGGGACTAGCAGAGAGGAGCCTTTCCGGGGCTCCTTTTTTTTTTTTTTCTTTTGAGACGGAGTCTCGGTCTATTGCCCAGGCTGGATTGCAGCGGCATGATCTCGGCTCACCACAACCTCTGCCTCCCAGGTTCAAGCGATTCTCCTGCCTCAGCCTCCCAAGTAGCTGGGACTACAGGCGTGTGCCACCACGCCAGCTAATTTTTTATTTTTAGTAGAGATGGGGTTTCACTATGTTGGCCAGGCTGGTCTCAAACTCCTGACCTTGTGATCTACCCACCTCAGCCTCCCAAAGTGCTGGGATGACAGGCGTGAACCACCGCACCCGGCCTCGGGGTTTCTTTCCTCCCTGAACACCTCCTCCTGGCTTGATCACACCCTCCCATCTCAGAAAGCTTCACCCTCAAAGAGGTCCACAGCAACATCATTTAAAATCAGAAGTCCAATGTCACAATGCCAGAATCACAATAGATGGAATAGTTGGCAGCCAATAAAAAAATGCAAGCTTGCCAAGATTATTATTACCATTAATAAGAACAATAAGAGTTACATATGTAACCAGAAGGAAGCATACCCATGTTGTCTCTGGACGGTGGGACTATGGGTGGTTTTTATTATCTTCTTTAGTTTTTCTGTATTTTCCATATTTTTGACAAAGAACATGTATTACTTTTATAATCAGAAAAAGCCATATAAAGAAACAATGAGATGATCCTGTTCTTGGTCTCAATGATTCTGATTCTGGGTATCTGTGCTAGGAAAATACACATTCTATACACAAACACACTTTCATCATATTGGTATTTACAACAGTTCCAAGTGGGAAACAAAAATGTCTATTTGGAGGGGAGCACACCCACCTGTACCTCTTCCCTGCCAAAAAAAAAAAAAAAAAAAAAGAAAGAAAGAAAAGAGGCCGTGCCTCTTCCCTGCCAAAACAAATGGCCACCTGTAGGGGTTCGGTTAAATACATTATGCTGTCTTCATATAATGGAATATTAAACAACCTTTACAAATGATCCTCATGTAGGGCTTTTAATAATCTGGGAAATGCTCAGGGTGTTTTAAGAAAAGGATACAAACATGTTTATATAGAATGATCTCACTTTTACAAGTATACATGTCTAAAAAACACCAGGAAGAATTTATGTCACAATGTTCATTGTGCTTATTCTCTGGGGGCTCAGATCACAGGTGATTTTTTCCCTACTTCATCTTTTTCTGTAATTTCCATATTTCCTATAGTGACCAGGTACTGTCAGAAAAAAAAAAAAAAGCTGAAATAAGTCCCTGTACATCTCCACCCACTAATAAATCCCACCCATGCTTAAGGCCTGGCCACAGTCTCCGTGTACCCCGTTGGGATCTCCCCACTCAGATCAGCCTGTGCTGGAGGAGCAGAGGTGCTGAAGAAGGTCCATATGGCTGGCCAACCAAGTCTTGTTTTCCTAAGAGGCTCTCTCTTCATGACCAAGTTTTGGTGCTCAAGGAGATCTATGGCCCCAGTCCCAGCTCAGGCGTCCACATGCCTTTCAGGGGCCGGGCTCTAATCTCCAACCCTTCTTCCGAAATCCTGGCTGCCAGAAGGAACTTTCTCACACTGTTTACTGCCACTCCTCTGCTCAAATCTGTCAGTGGCTCCCCTGTGCCTGCAGGGTAAAGACCTAGCCCTTTAGCCCAACACTCAAAGCCCTTGGTGAGGCCGGGCGCGGTGGCTTACGCCTGTAATCCCAATACTTTAGGAGGCCAAGGGGGACAGATCACCTGACTTCAAGACCAGCCTAGCCAACATGGCAAAACCCCATCTCTACTAAAATTACAAAAATTCGCCAGGGATGGTGGCATGTGCCCGTAATCCCAGCTACTCGGGAGGCTGAGGCAGGACAATCACTTGAACCCTGGAGGCGGAGCTTGCAGTGAGCTGAGATCATGCCACTGCACTCCAGCTTGGGCGACAGAGCGAGACTCCGTCTCAAAAAAAAAAAAAAGAGAAAGACTCAAAGCCCTTGGTGATGTGGCTTCTGCTGACCACTCCAGCTTCCTGCACCTCCCTAAACATGTCCCGTCTTACTTCATCTGGCCAACGGTCACTCTGTCTTCTGGATCCAGCTCACCTCCTCCAGTGAGCCTGCCCAGAGTTGCCGGGCTGGGTTAGGACCCTGTCTGGGTTCTCACATTCTCCTTTGCTCCCTTCTGTCCCACTAGTCACAGTGCTCATCGTGTATTTATACATCTGCATCCATATTCCTCAGTAGACTAGGAGCTCCCTAGGACAGGGCCAAGGTCCCAATGCCCTCTCCAGGCAGATGCTTTGGATAAATTAGCTCCTTCAACCCTCACAACAACCCTGTAACATAGGTGATTGTGCCCCATTTATCTAATGAGGAAATCAAGACTCAGGGAGAAGGTGGCCACCCTAGGTTGCCTACCTGGGTGGCAGAGTTGGCATCAGAGCTGGGAATGATCTCCCAGCTGCCTCTTTTCCTACACATCCTACATCTCCCCCACCCCAGGGCAGGGGGCAGGCTGAGCGGTAGAGGTAGGAGGTACCCAGGGAAGGGGATAGGAAGAAGACTCTGGCAAGTTGTGGGCACACAAGCTCAGGCCTGTGTAGGCTGATGGGCTCTGACTGGAGGCTTTGTTACAACGAGCTCTGTCTGGAGATGTCTCATGTGGAGTATAGACCGGCATTTCCAAGGATCCAGGGTGTACAGTCCTTATCTGGGGCCTCAGTGTGGGGATTTCAGTCTAGAATTTCACTTAGGGGTTCAGGCTAGGGACTGCAATCTGGGGGGCCTGATGTAGGGGCTTGGTTTGGAAGCTTTAGTGGGGCCTGGTCTGGGCTTGGCAGTCTAGGATCTTGGTTTGGAGTTTAGTCTTGGGCCCATTGTAGGCAACAGAGGCCAGGAGTTCCAGATGGCCTGGTATGGGGAGACTGGTCTAGGGTCCAGGCTCTAGAGTGCAGTCTGGAAAGTAGAAAGTGGGCAAGTCAGTTTGGGGAACCAGACATATGATTCTGTGAGGCTCAGCCTGGGGAATTTAGTCTGAGGGGTAAAAAATTGGGAGCTCAGCTTAGGATCTTGGGCTGAGAATCTTAGTGTGCATATCTCAGGTGGGCTCTCATTCAGAGATTCTCATTCTGAACAGCTCAGAAAACCAGACCGGGAAGTTGTTTCTGGGGACAAAGTTTCATCTCTGGACTTGATGTGGGGAGTGCAATCTGGGAGGCTCCATTAGGGAAGCTCAGATGGCCAAGCTCAAGCTCTGAGGTTCATGCTGGGGCCTGAGATAGGGTTGGGATTGATACAAAACAGGAAACTCAATTTCTTCAACTCAGGCTGCTCTGCCTATGGAGTAGCCATTCTTTATTTCTTTACTTCTTAATAAACTTGCTTTCACTTAAAAAAAAATAATAATAAAAGGCCGGGCACGGTGGCTCACGCCTGTAATCCCAGCACTTTGGGAGGCCGAGGTGGGCAGATCATGAGGTCAGGAGATTGAGAATATGCTGGCCAACATGGTGAAACCCCATCTCTACTAAAATACAAAACTTAGTCAGGCGTGGTGGTGCGTGCCTGTAGTCCCAGCTACTCGGGAGGCTGAGGCAGGGGAATTGCTTGAACCCAGGAGGCGGAGATAGAAGTGAGCCGAGATTGTGCCATTGCACTCCAGCCTGGCAAAAGAGAGAGACTCAGTCTCAAAAAAAATAAAAATAAAAATAGGCTGGGTGTGGTGGCACATGCCTGTAATCGCAGCACTTTGGGAGACCAAGGCGGGCAGATCATGAGGTCAAGAGATCAAGACCATCCTGGCCAACATGGTGAAACCCTGTCTCTACCCAAAATACAAAATTTAGCCAGGTGTGGTGGTGGGCGCCTGTAATCCCAGCTACTTGGGAGGCTGAGGCAGGAGAATTGCTTGAACTTGGGAGGCAGAGGTTGCAGTGAGCCAAGATTCCACCACTGCACTCCAGCCTGGGTGACAGAGGGAGACTCCCTCTTAAATAAATAAATAAATAAATGAATAAATAAAATAATAAAAAATAAATTTCTCATATTCAACCTGGGGCCAATTTTAGAGGGATGGGCATTAGCCAGCACATTTAGTAATAAAAGCAGCTAACATTTATTGAGCCTTTACCATGTACCAGGCATTGTGCTAGGAGCTTTACCCAGGTTATCTCATTACTTCTCAAAACAACCATATGAGGTAGGTATCATTGTCATCCCCATTCTACATGTGAGAAAACTTAGGCTGAGAGGCTGAGCAGCTTGCCCAAGGATACACAGTTGAGAAAATGGACTCTATCTGGAGCCCACTCTAGGTCGTTTTCATTGGCGGCTCACTTTGGGTCTAGTGCAGGAAGCTTATTTGGAGAATTTTCACCTGGGGATGTTGTGCTGGGGATCCAGTGTGAAAATAAAATTGCAGAACTGAGTCCTGGGAGCTCAATGTGGACCTGGGACTAGGCACTTAGCCTGAGTGGCTTAATTTGGGGGACAGTCTCATAATCTAGGGCATTAGTCCTGGAGCTCATCATGGGACTCTCCATCTGGTAAATGAAAAATAGGGGTCATTGGCCGGGCATGGTGGCTCATGCCTGTAATTCCAGCACTTTTGGAGGCCGAGGCAGGTAGATCACGAGGTCAGGAGTTCGAGACCAGCTTGGCCAAGATGGTGAAACCCCGTCTCTACTAAAAATACAAAAATTAGCCGGGTGCAGTGGCGGGTGCCTGTAATCCCAGCTACTTGGGAGGCTGAGGCTGCAGAATCGCTAGAACCAGGAAGGCGGAGGTTGCAGTGAGCCGAGATCACGCCACTGCACTCTAGCCTGGGCAATGGAGCAAGACTCTGTCTCAAAAAAGAAAAAAAGAAAAGAAAAAGAAAAAAGAAAAATAGGGGTCATCAGTCTAGGGGACTTGGGCTGGGGAGAACACAGCCTGGAATCTCTGTCTGGAGCTCAGTCTGGGCTGCTGAATTTCAGGGTTCCCCCTGGGGAACTCAAGGAATCCAGTCTGGGGGCACAGTGGGGCTTCAGTCTATAGGACAGACCTGGAGAGTCAGTCTTTTAAGTTCAGGCTGAAAGTTTCAGTCTGAGGGATATGAAATAGGAGAATTAATCTAGGGTGCTCAGTTGGCAATACTTGTCTATAGAATGGTGGCCAAGGAGATCAGACTGGGAAGCTCTTTTGGGGACCTCAGGCTGAAGGCTCTCACTGGGACCCCACTCTCAGGACTCAGGGTGGGAAGAGTATTCCAGGTGGGAAGAGGCCCAGTCTGGGGATCTTAGTTTGAGAAACCAGTGTTGGGATCTATAACTGGGACCTCAGACTGGGCTTAGTATGAAGGTTCAGTTTGGAGATGTCAGTCCATGGGGCCCATCCCAGGGAATCAGTCTGGAAGGCCCTTTCTAGAAGTTCAGGCTGGCACATCAGTGAGGGCTCTTTTTCAGCAGGAGGAATGAGGTACTTACTTATGCTGCAGATATCTGCTTGTAGAGCTTAGCTATTAAACTTTCTAGAGGCCTAGTTCTTTCTAGGGGTCCAGGCTTGGTAGTGAAGTGCCCCATCTGGCGGGGTGGAGGAGGCTTAGTATGGGAAGCGGACACAGCAGTGGACACAACTGTCCACTCCCCATTCTTTTTTTTTTTTTTGAGATGGGAGTCTTACTCTGCGGCCCAGGTTGGAGTGCAGTGGCACGATCTTGGCTCACTGCAGCCTCGGCCTCCCAGGTTCCAGCGATTCTCCTGCCTCAGCCTCCAGGGTAGCTGGGATTATAGGCACGGCCACCACACCTGGCTAATTTTTGTATTTCTAGTAGAGACGGGGTTTCACCATCTTGGCCAAATGCCAGACCTCCTTTTTATTCAGGCTGGTCTCAAACTCCAGACCTCAGGTGATCTACCTGCCTCGGCCTCCCAAATTGCTAGGATTACAGGTGTAAGCCACCACACCTGGCCTCAACCCCCATTCTTATGGCTTTTAGGACCCCACACTTTCTTTGTTTTCTTCCTACCTTTAGGGCTCCTCCTTTTTTTTTTTTTTTTTTTGAGATGGGGTCTCACTCTGTCACCCAGGCTGGAGTGCGGTGGCGCCACCTCGGCTCACTGCAACTTCTGCTTCCCGGGTTCAAGTGGTTCTACTGCCTCAGCCTCCTGACTAGCTGGGATTACAGGCGTGCACCACCATACCTGGCTAATTTTTGTATTTTCAGTAGAGACGGGGTTTCACCATGTTGGCCAGGCTGGTCTCAAACTCCTGACTTCGTGATCCACCTGCCTCGGCCTCCAAAAGTGCTGGGATTACAGGTGTGAGCCACCGCACCCAGCCTAGGACTGCTCCTTCTAAGTCTCCTTTGCTGATTCCACTTCCCTGAGGTTTGTCCTTGGCCCTCTTTCCCCTCCTTTTACACTTACTCCCTTTGGTGATCTCGGCCAGCCCTATGGCTTTGGAATACTATCTATGTGCAAATGACATCCAAATCTCTCCCTGGAATTCTAGATTCATCTAACTGCCTGACTAGCAGCTCACTTTGAACATGTCCAAAAACAGACTCCTAAGATCATCTTAGAAACCATCACCACCAGCCAAAAACCTACAAGTCATTCCTGACTCTTTCTCTCAAGCCCTGCATCCACTCCACCCTAGTCCTCTCAGTGCTGCTTCTGAAAAGAATATATCCTGAATCCAACCATTTCTCACAGATTCTACTGCTACTGTCCTCATCCAAGCCAACTTTTCTCACTTGGATTATTGCAAAAGCCTTCTAACTGATCTCTCAGCTCTCTCTCTTGCTCCCCAAGTGATCAACATCGAAACCTTCCCATGGCTACCCACCACACTCAGAATAAAATCCATCTCCTTATCTTGGCCTTCAGTCTTTGCTCCTCTCTCCAACCCCATTTCTACCATTCTACTCTCACTTGTCACGTTCAGAGATATGCAACCTGTCCAGCACCCCACCTCCTCTAATATCTTCCCTTGCCTTGGACACTATACTTGCTGTTGCCTCTGCCTGGAACATGCTCCACTCCAACAGGCATGTGCTTACCTTCTTTTTATTCAGGTTTTGACTCACTGTCTTCTAGTCAGACAGGCCACCCAATCTCAAGTAGGCTCTCCAGCCACTGTCATGCCATCCTCTTCTAATTCTCAGAATTACACTCAGCACCTATCTAATATTCTACTGTGTATTTAGTTACTTATTTATTTATTCTTGAGATGGAGTCTCTCTCTATCACCCAGGCTGGAGTGCAGTGGCTCAATCACAGCTCAATGCAACCTCTGCCTCCCGAGTTCGAGTGATTCTCCTGCACTGGCATCCCGAGTAGCTGGAATTACAGGCACCCACCACCACGCCCAGCTATCTTTTTTTTTTTTTTTTTTTTTT